GGCAGGAACAGTAAGAAAGGCAGTAACAAAGACCCCAATTCTAATCCTACTTCTGCCACTTACTAGCTATCTGATATTGGGCATCAACTTCTGTGAGCTTCAGGACTCTCATCAGTCAAATGAGCCTAAAATAGTCTCTTCACCACATAATCTTATAAGAATTTGGGGAGAAATTGTGAAGTGTTCGCTCAGCACTTTTAGGCATTATACCTCTAATTTAGGTGGTTGATAAATGGTACCTAAAATGTAATTGCCTGAATTGGAAAAATAGAAGAAACTATTTCAGTATATCTCCATCAACAGGAATGTTTCAAAAAAAAACCAATCCAGTTGACTAACTTATCTACATAAAAATCACTGCCAGAGAAGCAAACAAAAGCTATCCACACTGTCAGTGGGAAAAGATATAATCCAGAGCCCCTAAGACTCAATGGTTATTTACCTGAGGAGATAGCCATGATAAAAAAAAAAAAAAAAAAAAAAAAAAAAAACCTCACATACTCTCAGAGGCTGTAAAAAGAGGACTTGGTGATAAGGACCACTCAGACTCCAAGCCTGACTGTTACTGATTTAGGACTTATCTTCTACCTACTTCCCCAAAAGATCAGAGGCAGATTATAGTTAAGAGTCACATACTCAGTAGACTCATTTAAATAAGAATATGAGAATCAGAGGAATGTAATGAGGGTGAGGTAATAGGTGAGATCTGTTTCCATTGAAAATAAAATTTAGTTCTGGGTATCCAGAGTTAAGTCAAAAAAGCAAACCTACAGACTATCATTAGGCAGTGGAAGAATCAGGATCAATCAGAGGAGGCAAATTTTCCTAGAACTAAACTCAAACTTTCATCATCAGAAACTGATCTTAGAGACTGGGCACGGTGGCTCACACCTGTAATCCCAGCACTTTGGGTGGCCAAAGTGGGTGGATCACTTGAGGTCAGAAGTTCAAGACCAGCCTGGCTAACATGGTGAAACCCCGTTTCTACTAAAAATACAAAAATTAGCCAGGCATGGTGGCGGGCGCCTGTAATCGCAGCCACTTGGGAGGCTGAGGCAGGAGAAATGCTTGAACCCAGCAGGCAGAGGCTGCAGTGAGCCAGGATCGCACCACTACACTCCAGCCTGGGCAACAGAGTGAGACTCCATCTCAAAAAAAAAAGAAAAAAGAAACTGATCCTAAGAATGTATGCTTCCTATTTCCCCTACCCCTCAAAGTTCCAACTTAAGATTTGATGTGTTATTTTCCTCCTCACAGCTTTGTCAATTACCAGCTGTGTGACCCAGAACCAATGCCTCACCTCTCTGAATCTCATTTTCTTCATCCCTAAAAAGGAAAGATGCTCCTATTTGTGAAAGGGGATGATGGAAATAGCGTATTTGCTAGCATTAATTGAGTGCTGACTAAGCATCAAAAGCTTCATGTACATTATCTCACTGAAATCTCCCAATAAGCATATATGGCAAGTCCTGCAAATTATCATTTCACAGACAAGCTGCCTGAGATTCAGAGAGGCAGAGACAGGTGCCACTGTCACACAGCCAAAGAGCAGGAAGTGCTGGAACTCAATTTCATGCTTATGTGACACCAATGCAAAATTTAAACACAAAATTTAACCATTATACTTTTCTGCTTTCCCGAATATGTAAGGCACCTAACCATTCCTGGCACATAGTAGGTGCTCAACCTATTAGTTCCCTTCCTCCCTCCTTCCTTTTCTCCTAAAATTATATAACATGTAGAAAATTAAAAGTTTACTGAAGTATGTTTATATAGTTTAAGGAAATCATACCACTTAATTTATTTTCTCTATTAACCTCACCACATCTCTGCTTATCATTATGCACTAACCTATTTTACAAATAAGGAACTAGAAGGCAGCAAACAGCTAGGGCAACGTGCCCAGAGTCATATGGAAGTCACTGCTAAAACCAAATAAAAACCTTGATCCTCTTACTTATAAATCAACCTTTATCCTCTCACATGACACGGCCTCCATAATAAAGAACAGATCATTCATTTTTTTTATCTGGAAAACTACCAAACGTTATAATTCAGTAAGGGGCCTCATGACCCCACTACCTTGTCAAAGGGAAGAAAGTATATAAAAAATGAGGTTTGCAGGAGCAGACGGTTTTGGTCTATCAACTTTCTCTTGGATTACACCCATTCACCAAAATAAAATAATGTAAAAAAAAATGTAACAGATCCTCGTATCTTTGGAAATTCGAGTTAAACTCACTGATCTTTCAAACTTACATACAATGCACCAACAGTGATCATTTACTCCTGTGGGGCTGCAGAAATGCATGTTGTCAACCAGATCTTTGAAAGAAAAATGTGATACACAACTGGGTCACCTTAAGAAGAATCTAAATCAGCAATGAGCATTTAGTAGCACAAATTCATAGCCCCATAGAATTTTGGAGCTTCAGAAAGGACCTGGCAGGCCACTAAGAACAATCCCTTCATCTGATATGTGAGGAAACCAAGGCTCAGGGCAGTTAAGTGGTTGTCCGAGGTTTCACAAACAGGACAGCAAAAACTAGAAAATAAACCCACTGAGTACTACCTATTACCCTTGTAAATCTTGCTTCTAATGTCCATGCGTACCTTTAGCACTTTCCAGAATTACGCATCTACACAGAAAATACAGGAGAAAGTTAACAGAAAAACTCAGGCTTCAAATCCTGACTGCCATTTACTTGTCAGGTGATCTCAGGCAAGTCCCTTAATTTCTCTGAACTTCATGTTTTTCATCTATAAATGTGGGTCCTAGTAATTTCCGGAAGCTTGATGCAATACAAACAAGGGACCTGGCACACAGCCTGTGAGCTCCATGAAGGCATACATCACGTCTATACATCCCCAGCAGAGAGCCTGGCACATATACATTCTCGGAACATTCACTGAGCAAATCAATGAACTTGCCAAACAAACTCGAACTATCTGGTTCAAGCAGGAAGACTTGAACCCAGGTCTATCTGCTTCTTAAACATTAAGTTATATTGTTCCCAATTCACATGATTTCAAAGCAGAGTGTTAATTCAGCCTCACAGAGTACTGAGAGCACAACGGAACAAGACAGCTATTTTCTGGCCATGAGGCAGGAAAAAGTTCAGTGTGGGAAGTTTCTGAACTCCCCATGTTGGGATTGATTCTTGTTGTTTGAATGGGTATGGGTACATCATGAGGCTTTGGAATCATCTAAAACTGGGTTTGGGTCCAAGCTGCGGCACAAGTTGTGTGGCTTCCACACAAGCTGTGTGGCCTCAAAGGTATGACTTTACCTCTCCGAGCCTAAATTTCCATGCCTAGGAAAAAATCTACTTTACGGGGATTAAAGACAAATGTGGCAATATACGTAAAGGAATACAGGATAATGCGTGGCAAAAAAAGACACTCAACTAGTGTTCAACTCCATTTCCCTTTTAGTTATCTGGAAGCTTCGTTCATTAGGTCTTTGTTCAAATGTCCCTTTCTTCATGACCCTCCCTATCCATAATAAAAGCCCCAAATCTCTCTATCCCCTTACTTTGCTTTTTTTACTTCATTGTCCTTACTATCACTTGATATTCCATTATGTACTCATTTACTGTGCCTATGCAACTATTAGGGAAGCCTGAGGAAGAGAGGGACTTTTTGTTGTTTCTTTTGTTTACTGCTATATTCCAACAACTAAGAAAGTATCTGGTATGCCATTAGTGCTTAATAAATACTTGCTGAAAGACTGAACAAGTTAATTCAACACTTATTTGGGCCTTGTTATATATGAGGCACCGTGTAGGAATAGGGATTTAAATATTTTGCTATGGAATCTGAGATGTGTCTCACTTGGACTGCTGCAGGAGCCTCCTGACTGTTTTCCTTGTGTCCACTTTGTTCCCCTACAGTCCAATTGTTAAATCAGCAGCCAGAGAGACCCTCACATAGTCAACATCAGATCAGGTCACTCCCCTGCTTAAATCCCTCCACTGACTTCGCATCACAATGAGAATAAAGCCCAAACACTCACCAGGACTTACAAAGACTAAACCATCAGCCTCTACTGACTAGTCCAACCTCCTCTCCTACCACCCTCTCCCTGCATTTCGCACACACTGGCTTTTTTCTTTCTCAAAAAGGCCAAGGTCTTGTATTTTCTCTTCTTTTTTTAATTTAAAAATGAACATTTTATTTTTATTCACCTAAAACTTTTAAATTCTAAAAAAATTAGCTGGGCGAGGTGGCGGGCGCCTGTAGTACCAGCTACTCAGGAGGCTGAGGCAGGAGAATGGTGTGAATCTGGGAGGTGGAGCTTGCAGTAAGCCAAGATCACGCCACGGCACTCCAGCCTGGGTGACAGAGTGAGACTCCGTCTCAAAAAAAAAAAAACCTTTAAGTTCTATATACTTATATAACTAACAATATTCTGTTCTCATGCCTAAAATTCTTCAACTAGCAAGGACTAATGTAAAAAAAAAAGCTCTTCAAAGAATATAAGTTAGAGACTACCAGTGTCAAGGTCTTTTCAGACTTGCGGCCTTTGTGCTTGCTGTTCACTCTGCCCAAAATGCTCTCCGCTAGGCTGGTTCTTTCTCATCATTTAGCTCTCAGCAAAAATGTTACCTCTATAAACAGTCTTCTCAGGATAAAGGTGCCCCTGCCACCATCATCCTTACCAAGTCACTCTCTATTGGCTCCCACTGCCTTTTCTTGCCTCATGGCATGTCATTATCTGGAATGACTTTATTTATTTGTCCTACCTTCTCAACCAGAATGTAAAGTATGTAAGGACAACAAATTCTCAAGCTTACTGTTGCAAACCTCACATCTGGTACACAACAGGCACTCAATAAGTATTTCTGAATTAGTAAAGTGATCTCAAAAGATGTTTGCCAGGGTGAAAGGTGCAGGCAAGGTATGTTATTGGCCTACTGGTATAGTAGGGTGTTTGCTGGTTTCCTTCTAAGGACAACCACTCCATTTCATTAAAATATGTGAATTTCAGCCAAACTTACTGGGGAATGGGCACCCGAATTAGCGTCCCTTCCACTTCTGGGTTCAGATTCATTCCACTTTCTCTTATAGCCTTGATAGCTGCAGCTGTACACTGAAAACCAGATCAAAAGGTAAACAGAATTAGTAAATAATTATTACCAGATGCAAGCCCTCTGTCGATAACTGGCAACCCATCTTGGCAGAACATGGAAACATTTAGTTCTGTTACCAGCAAGATCAGGAAGTTACATTGGTGTAGAGTGCTTTGATCAAGCTGAATAGCAAACTATGTCCACTCCTGGTACCACTGTACTGCAGGAGGAACAAAAAGAAAGAAGAAAAAATAAAAAGAAAACAGCTCTGCTTCTTTGAAAAGATTTCAATGGTTTGAGGCAACACAGATCAAAACCACAATAAATCCTCAAGGGAGGGGGGCTGGTCTCTGCAAAGATTGGTGTAAAGACAGATGAAAGATTTCATACGTAAAAAAATCCAGTTGACATTTTACACTCAAAATATACCAGTGCCGATTTGGAATAAGTAAATAAATTTAACTCATTCACATCTGCACTCACACCAAACTCACTCATATTTTGGAATGCAAAATGAATCTCTGCTGGTATATGCTCCCGCAAAGGTAGTGTGGTATACTAGCTTAAAGCATGGGCTTTGGAGTCAGAAAGATCTCAGTTCAAATCCCAGTGCTGGTAACCATGTGACCCTGGGCACATGGTTAACCTCTCTGTACCTATATTTTGTCATCTGAGACCATGTAGCACCTAAACCTCAGAGAGGTAGTGAAATAACATGAGCGATGCATCTTGCTCTGTGCCTGGCACATAGTAATACTCAGGCAAGGGCAGTTATATAAACATATTATATACATTTATTATACAAAGGTAAGAATGCATAAAACCCCCAAACAAGGTGGAGTTGATGTCCTCATGTAGCTGAGGTACTGCTATCCTGCCCAACATCCTTCAGGGGCTTCTCTGAAAGTTTGCTCACTAATGGGCCAGCTGGCACACTGGCACACTCATTTCCCAAAGTGCCTCACCTCATACTCAAGCAACATTATAACTACACCTGGTATGTAATCCTAAAGAATAACAAGAAAGCAGTGTGTAAGAGAGATCCTTTCAGTGGCCTGACAATGTGGAATTCATGAAAATAAAGCCTCTGACATTTTCAAAAGAATTTTAGGCTTGACCAGAGCCAATCCACATCACTTGGATTCAAAGGCCAATTCCTGCACTTGAGCTCCTCCTAGACTTTCTAATTTAAATGAATGGGGGTTGATACACACCTATTTTACTTTTCTAGGTTCTCTGCCCATAAAACTCATTCATTTCATTTTTATATAACCTTATTGCTACAGCTACCTGAGGTATTACTATAAGGTCACAAAGACAAACCAGAACTTCCACATACACATGCAGAATCCTCTTGGGAGGCTGTACACAGAATGTAACATATTGTGGCTACTACCTAAAATAGTACATTCTTTTTTTTTTTTTTTTTTTTTTTTTTTTCTGAGAAGGAGTCTCACTTTGTCGCCCAGGCTGGAGTGCAGTGGCGCAATCTTGGCTCACTGCAAGCTCCGCCTCCCGGGTTCATGCCATTCTCCTGCCTCAGCCCCCGAGTAGCTGGGACTACAGGCGCCCACCACCATGCCCGGCTAATTTTTTTGTATTTTTAGTAGAGACGGGGTTTCACCATGTTAGCCAGGATGGTCTCGATCTCCCGACCTCGTGATCCACCCGCCTCGGCCTCCCAAAGTGCTGGGATTACAGGCGTGAGCCACCGCGCCCAGCAGTACATTCTTAAAATAGTACCTCTGGCCACAGATTATCAGAGCTGGAAGGGATCTCTGACGTAACCAAGTCTCTTCATTATGTGAACAGGAACTTGTAGAATAGGGTCACACCCCCAAGAGTAGACATGGTCTTCCCTGACAGCCCGAGAGAGATGGTTTGAGGACCCCCATCCATCAAACTTCCAGTTACTGGCAGAGTTAAGAGGAGACTGAATAGGGATTTAATCCAATGATGCTGCTCTGCCTTTACTTTTTTCTAGATCCCAAGTTCAACGCATTCAATAATTATAACATTAAGGACGTGATTTTTCTTCTCTTTTTTTCTTTTTTTCTTTTTTTTTTTTTTGAGACAGGGTCTCACTCTGGCACTCAGGCTGGAGTGCAGTGGCATAATCACGGCTCACTGCAGCCTTGACCTCCCAGGCTCAGGTGACCCTCCACCTCAGCCTCCCAAGTAGCTGCGGGAGGGAAAAAAGAAAGAAGAGCTGGGACTACAGGTCCACACCACCACACCTGGCTAGTTTTTGTATTTTTTATAGAGATGGGGTCTCACCATGTTGCCCAAGCTGGTCTCAAACTCCTGGGCTCAAGCGATCTGCCCACTTCAGCCTCCCAGAGTGCTGGCATTATAAGCATGACCCACCATGCCTGGCCTGATTTTTTCTTAAACAGCCAAATTTAATTTGGAATTACGTTTGCGGTATAAAGGTTATAATCAAGGTAATAAAAGAGCTGAATAAAGAAATAAAATTAATTTTTCTCTGCAAAATAAATGCCATCTTTCTTAAAAAAGAAAAAACAAAAAAAACCACAGAGTCTAAAGCTAACAATAAAGAGAGAATCTCCACTATGAAGGGGTAATCCAATCTCAAGTCTTTCAATCCTCTACTATAACTTCTCATGAATGACTGATAATCATTACTATAATACCCCATCACCACTACCTGCCTTTCACAAGCTGACCCAAGTGTTTCCATACAACCTTCCCCTATAGGCACGAGGGCACCGACTACTGACACCAAGCTGGGCAGGAATTATGCCTCAATATTTACATCTTCCCAGTAAAAGTTAGAGTGCCAGGTACATGGTAAGTGCTCAGTAAAAGCTTGTTGATTGAATATATTAGTGATTTGGTTCAGATCTATTAGAAAAACTCATTTCCTTTACCTCATCTATATAACGGCTCAAAATCTTATTTTATACTTCAACTTTTCTATGTCTTTTCATATTCAGAAAAATCGTGATTCAAAGTTTTATTTTACAAAGAAAACTACTGAATTCTACATATTTTTTCCTTTGACATGGTACAACACAGAACCTCAGGGAATTAGTCATGTTCTCCTATGACATCTGAAAAACTCTTTAGTTCAGACTAAGAGGCATACGTTCCTATAGACTTTCCATTTCTTATGTGTCATCCCTTCAAGGAAAGGATGCTCCACAGTAACACAGGGCAAACAGGTTGCTCTCAAATGATGATGTAACTAACTGGTTGTGGCTGCTTGCAGTAGTGTATTGAGAAAAATCACAAATCTCATCTGGAGGTCAGGCAGAGAAGAGTGATGTGATCAATCAGTAGTGTCTGCCTTTGTTATTCTAAGCTAATCTGTGCTAAGTAACAACAACAACAACAACAAAAATAGGACTTTTGTAGACAGGTGAACAAGTCCTTGAGAATTTGGATTCAAGTCAACTCTGCTAGTGCCCTATCAATTACTGACCTTCCATTTTCTTCATATCCCAATGTAAAGTCAAGTCTAAGAAAGTAGACACATAGTCTGTCTTAATAATCAGTGAATTCCCAGCACCTCAAATAGAAACCAATCACTTGTAAGGACTCAAAAAATATGTGCTGAATTAATGAATGAATGGTGAAAGGAGCATAGGCTTTTTCATGTCCAACAGAGATATGTTCAAATCCTGGCTCTGTCACAACAGTGTGTACCTAGTGGAGATATTTTACTTCTTTGAGTCTCAGTTTCCTCATCGATAAAATGAATAAATAATGCCTAATTTTACAGAGTACCTGTACTGATCATATGGAACAAAATATGAGAAAGAGACTAGCGACAAAGGAGACAATATACATTCATTTTCTTCCTTCCACAAGAGCAATAATGGAGGCTGCAGAGTTGTGTGTGTTTTTTTTTATTTTTTATTTTTTTCATTTGCCTTGTTTTATTCAAATCATGCTGTGGTTTTTATTCCCTTCTTTTCTTTCCCATCATTAACTCTAGCTGCAGGCAAGTTTATGGAAGGCAGCAACTATGTGTATCATTTATCAAGCAGGACACATGTTAAACAAATGCAACACAGTTTTCTGTCTTTAATGCATTCAAAACGATTATGCATGTAAATCTGCATCGTGTCACTACAGCGTGACACAGAAATGCTCGGGTTTGGAAAGAAAGCCAACTGTATGTGAAACAGAAAGAAATTACATAAACACAGAGAGGATTAGCTCAGCATTTTAAAGCTATGAACCTGGGTACTCTATGGTCAGCTTCTAAGCTGGAGGAAGGAAATTTTTAGTTAGAGCTATTTGTTTAGTACGTACAACAGATGAGATAAAGGAATTCAAGACAATGTAACTCACACTTCCTCATTCTGTCCCTGTAAATGAACCTCTCTTCTGATTTTTCCAAAACCCATGGAATTCTAACTTGAACAAATGGCAAAGATGTCTGAGTTGAAAAATGAAGATATACCCCAACTTCCTAAGAAAAAATTAAGCTGTTAATATCTCCTCCTGCTTCATAAGATGCTCTGGTGGCCAATCAGGTGCTTCTTCTGTGAATGCCATTTGCTATTTAATAAAAGAAGTGGCTGGCTCTGAAAAAGCAATCTGCCTGATGAGGTCTTCAAGCTGTGTAATTAGGAGGCTATTCCCTAAATTGGCCCGCAGTGCCTATGGGATTAGATGAACAAGGAGGAGAGGCCTCAGTGGTTCAGAGGGGGCTAGAAAGAGAAAGAGTTGACAGCTCCCTTTTCATCAATTTCTCTGTTCCTCAGTAACACCAGGAATGAGTGCCTCCCTTTTATCAACCTAATAACAGGTATTCATCCATTCAAGGAAAATTTACCAAATGATTCCATGTGCCAGGCACTGTGTTTGGTGTTGGACACATGAGCAAATTAGACATTCCTACATTCCAAGTTTACACTCTAGTAAAAGTGAGATGACAAATAAATGCGTACACAAATGTATACTAGTAATAAGTGCAATAAAGAAAAAGAATTGTGCTGTATAGGAGAACCTAGTGTGGAGGAATAATTCCGATTGCAGAGGTCAGGAAAGGCTTCTCTAAGAAGTGACATTTAAGCCATGATCCAAAATATAAGTAGCAATTAGTCATGCAACAGCGTTCCATGCAATGGGAACAGGATATGCAAAGGCTCTAAGGATGTAAAGGGTTTGGTGTGTTTGAGGAACTGAAAGACCAGTGTGGCTAAAGCACTGCACAAGGATGACAGTGGCACAAGACTGGCAAAACTGAAAAGACAGAGGCCAGATCAAGCAAAGCCATCTAGACCACAGTGAGGATTCTGGACTTTTTCTTAAAGATTGCTGGGAGTCACCAATAAATGCAAAGCATGGGAATGACAAATGACAAAATCTTTTATATATACATATTTTTACTTATTTATTTAATATACAAGATCTTGCTCTGTCACCCAGGCTGCAGTGCAGTGGCATGATCATAGCTCACTGCAGCCTCAAACTCCTGGACTCAAGTGATCCCCCCACTGCAGCCTCCTGAGTAGCTAGGACTACAGGCCAACCCACCTCACTAATTTTTTTATTTTTGAAATTTTTGTAGAGCCAGGGTTTCACTATGTTGCCCAGGCTGGTCTTGAACTTCTGGCTTCAAGTGATCCTCTAACCTTAGCCTTCCAAAGTGCTGGGATTACAGGTGTGAGCCACCATGCCTGGCACAATACATATTTTTCAAAAACTCATTCTGGTTGTAGTATTGGAGAATGGAGTAGGGGAGTGGTAACAGCACACCCTCACAGGTATGCCTGGCCCATTAGCTATCAGAGCCCCTTGATTTGAAACTGTGTGTTCACAGTAAGGGCGTTCCCTGTCTCCTACCTCTAGCCTAGTTTGTCAAATCCAACAGGTCCAACGTTGGTCTATGACTTTGAAATACAACTACTGAAACAGACAATAAGAACAGGAGGATTCCTTCACCTCATATTAGCAGATGAGGAAATGGAGGCCCAGAGAGTGAAGCAACTTGCCCAAGGTCAAACGGCCAGTTGGTGGTAGAGATGGCACCCGATTCCAGGTACTCTAGTACTCCTAATCCAGGCCAATTCCTAGTGGACCAATAACAAAAAGGCCAATTACCTTCCTCAACTATACTTAAAATCATAAAGCCTCAACGATGCAATGACCTAATACAACCCACCTTCCAGTTATGGAAGCACAGTGTTCCATGCAATATTCTGCAATGGTCAGTCTAGTATAAAAGGACTTCCTGGAGGGTCTACTCCAAATACTAATGCAGAGGTCACAAATTGGTGGCCCTCAGGCCACATTTGGCCCATTAAAATATGGTTTTATTTGCCTCATAGTCTTAAAAAAAATGGAATTAGTCATCAATATTTAAAGAATAAAGATGTGACATTAAAACGTGTGTTACTAGCTTCTTCTAGAAATAAAAATCGTAGTATCAGGTAACACTGATTACCAGGCCTACATTCTGCCTGGCAATGATCAGCAGGAGCTGGGCAGAGGCATTCCACTCAGACAAGGCACAGGCTCTCCAGGTCACCAGAACCTTTCCACACTGGCCAAACACCAATCACTGCATCTCCAGTATTGTTTTTCTTAGATGGGACCCGTTTGGGTATTCAAACAACTTACCTAGCCTCTGTAGCATTTATGTTTAACAGAAAAGGAATCTGGCAATGGGAAAAGAGCTTTGCCTTATCCTTAAGTTCTCTTTATTATGTCTTCTCTCTTGTTTCATTCTAAGCTGAAGGAACACTTACTTCCTCCTGATATGACCCAGTCTCCTCCATTCCAAAAGAGACCATGGAGAGAGATTTTAGCAAGGCCACCTTACCTCTGGGAAGCTGGCCATATTCACCAATATCAGCTGTGGCGACTTCATGGAGATCTGGCCAATCTGGTTTAAAGCAAGTTTCCCATCAGCAGTTACCACAGCAATCTTGTCAAGGGATCCTAGAAGAAAAATTATACAGTTTTAGAATCCCAAAGAACCTTAGTAGCCTCAAATCTAAGTCTCTATCTAATTCAGATTCAGGCTGGATGCAGTGGCTCATGCCTATTATCCCAGAGCTTTGGGTGGGTGAAGTGGGAGGAATGCTTGCGGGCAGTAGTTTGAGACCAACCTGGGCAAAACAGCAAGACCACATCTCTACAAAAATATTTTTTTAATTAGCAGGCATGGTGGCGTGTGCCTGGAAGACGAGCTACTCAGCAATGAGGCTGAGGTGGGAGGACTACTTGAACCCAAGAGGTAGAGGTTACAGTGAACTGTACTGGCTACTACACTCTACCATGAGCAACAGAGTGAGATCTTGTCTCAAAACAATAATAATAATTCAGATTCAACAAACATTTAGGGATTCTTACCATTGTGACAAGAGTGTACAAGGGGCTTTCACAGGAACAGCAGTATTTTGTGATAGAAAAAGCTTGAAATGTTGACAGAACTAGGATGGAATTCCTCACCAGCAACTAGGGTGGCCAACCATCCTGGTTTGCCTGGAGCTGAAGAATTTTCTGTGACAGGGCTTTTTGAACTAAAACTGGAAACAGCTGATCACCCTCACAAGCAACTCTGCCATTTACTTGCTATGAAACCTCGGGTGAGTTACTTATCTTCTCTATGCCTTGGTTTCCAACTCAGTCAAAAAATAACTACCTTAGAGGATTCGAGTGAGGACTGCAGCTAAAGGAGTCTAACTAAATATAAACAATGGAGTATACAATAAACACCAAAAAATATGCATTAAAGTTGGTACCTCTTATTATCCCTTTTAGTCCTTACAACGACCCTGTAACACTGCATTATTACCCCCACTTTACAAATGAGAAAATCAGACTTGGGAATAAAAAACAGGCCAAGATCACAGGGGTGACAAAAGGAAAAACAAGTGCCAAGACCCAAACTCAGGTATGCTTAATTCTGATTTCAATCAAGGCTCTTTCCCTTACAAATGGAACTCAAACCCGGCTGTACATCAGAATCACCAGGCAGCTTTGAAAATTAGATTCCTGGGCCCCACCCCAAAGAGATCCTGATTCTGTAGAGGCTTCAGAGCCTGTGATTTGGGGAAGCCTGTAATTTTTTTTTTAGGTTCACCACATGATTCTGACACAGCCAGATTTCGAACCATTTGCTTATACGACCCTTCACTGTGGTACTTAGATCCCCTTTAGAAACTAGCTCATTAAACAAAACAACAACAACAACAAAACTATTAACATTTTCCTGTTATCCTGGATATAATCTTTGTCTGCATCTAAATTCTGGAAAACCCTGGGAAAAATTTTCAAAAATGGCAAGAAGGCAAGCAATAAAGCTACAGTTACAGATGGAAAAGAGGCATTATTCAAACTCCCTTATTTCCTATGCAAATGAGAACTAGAAGAAAAACCTTACCATTCACAGTAGGAACCACTCAAGGATGGCTCATTCTGAGACACAAAGAGAAAAGTGGGGAAAAGGAGTCTTATAAACAAATTGGAGTTGTCCTGGCAATATGTTGTTAGAATAATGCAGTACCATACTGTGGCCCAAAGATCTGATTTGAGATACTCAACCAGATTCAATGTCATCATGAGACAGAAGGTTGCTGACACCAGTGGCTTCAACCTGGAAAAGTCCAGGAGGTATAATGGTAAAAGTCTTTGTTACTCTGAAGACCAATGACCTGGGTTCAAATACCAACTCTGCCACTTTCTGATTGTGTGACCGTGGGTAGATTCCTTCAGCCTTCTTGGCCTCTGTTTCCTGATTTCTAAATGGGACATAAAAACTGTACTTATATCTCGCCGGGCACAGTGGCTAACACCTATAATCCCAGCACTTTGGGAGGCTGAGGTGGGCGGATCACGAGGTCAGGAGTTTGAGACCAGCCTGGCCAACACAGTGAAACCCCGTCTCTACTAAAAATACAAAAAATTAGCTGGGCATGGTGGCAGGCGCCTGAAATCCCAGCTCACTGGGAGGATGAGGCAGGAGAATCACTTGAACCCGGGAGAAGAAGGCTGCAGTGAGCAGAGATCACGCCATTGCACTCCAGCCCAGGAGACAGTACGAGACTCTGATTCAAAAAAAAAAAAAAACTGTACTTACATTTCATAGGGTTTTTATGAAGATTAAATGACAGAACGTAGGAAAAGCACTTAAACTGTGTCCCAGTAAATGCTATTATTACTTCTTGACATTCTGTGTTTTAATTTCTCTAATATACTCTAATATTCTCTAATTAAACTCTGTTCTGAATTGCTTCAGGACCCTTGCATATATTTTTCCTCCCACTGCAAACACTCTTCTCTGTTCAGATAAATCCTGCTCATTCCTTAACAGTCAGATACAGTGACATCTAATCTCAGCAATCTTATCTCACCTCCTAGGCTGGATTACAAACCCCTTTTATAAGCCCCCAGCATCCCAGCACATTTCCATAATAATGACAATTCTCTATATTTACTGAAAACTTCCTACGAGCAAGACATCATGAAAAATGCTTTCTATAATGTATTTGCTGTAATGTATTTAATGTATTTATAATGTATTTAACATCATATTAACTATATGAGATAGTTATCATTTCTATCTTACAGACAAGAAAACTGAGGCATACAGAGTAACTTGCCCAAGATGACAACAGCTCTTAATGGAGCCTGAATTCAAACCCGGGTCTGACCAACTCCAAAGTCATTTGGTCTTCACCACTCAGCTTTGCTGTATGGTTTTATACATATTGATTTACTTGTTTGACCCTTCACATCAGGTTCTAGGCTCCTGGAAGGTGGGGACAATATATTTTCTCTCTGTATCAACAGCACATATTAATCAGCACAGAAAACGTGTTCAATAATGCTTTGATGATAAATGAATGTATGCATGGATGGATGAAAGGGAAGAGGACAACAATGAATAAACAAATACACCTGTATCTAGACAACTGTTAAAAGGTGTCAGTTATCTGGGAGATAGAAATTGCTGTGAGAAAGAGGAAAATGTAGGGGGGTACCTGTTGGTTCAAACAGTAATGAAAGATAAAATGGAAGAATCTGGCAAAAGAGACTAGCTAAATTTAGTCTGTTTCATCCAGTCTCTTCATGGCCCAAAGTTCTATATAGAACATTATACAAACATAATCCTGAAGAGAAAGGAAAGAGGAAATACCAACAGGAGGCCTTTTGAAATGGATCTTAATTCTGTCTTCCTGATTTGCCGTAAGATCCTTTGCCACAGAAGTCCCCACACAGACTCTTCAGAATGCAATTGTGGTGGTTACCATTCCTAAATCCATATCGACATAATGCATCAAATCCTTTTCCCTCAATCTGTCCCCAGCGAGAATCTCCCTCAGCCTCATTCCTGCCCCTCATTTTCTCAGAGGTTAACATTTAACAAATTACACTCCCAACCTCTTTCCAGGCCCATCATCTTTTTAAGTTCAACAAGAGTGGAGCTTGCTGGCTAATTTTAAGTATCACATTTCTCCCTGAGCTCCTCTCAAACCGCTCTCCGGTTTCAGCTGCAGAATGTTAACAGGCCAGAAAGCACAGGGGAGACAGAGCACTTTATCAGTTTCATACCTAAAATAATAAGCAAGTTTAAAATAAACAGTTGAGAGAGATTGAATGGCACGCTCCACTGTCAGCAAAGGCAGAAATGCCCCAGCCCAAAGGTTGACAAATGACGGGAATGGTCTTCTAGTTTCACACTGGATCTCATCTCTGAACTCGGTATGTTTCTGATAGTGTTTGTAAGTGGAGCTGTATTTTTCACTTGGTTTTCTTAAGAGCGAACTATTTCTAGTTTTCTCATGAACTACCCTAATCAAGACATGAGTACAAGCAGCCCAAGCTCCCACAGGTACCTTCAGAGGGGGGTCCCAGGTTTGACTTTAGGATGATGACAATTTGCAAAAGGCTAATTTAACAGCAATTGGATTTTTCCTGCCGGCTTGAACCATCAGCTGACAACTCACTTCTCCATCACATCTGCAAACAGTTCGCCTAGACAGTTCTGACATTTCCCACTTAGAAAAGCCCCTTTCAGGAAGTTATTAACCCAAACGGAATATTCCTGGTCAAGCTCAGGGGTACAGAAATGCCTCACGTGGGCAGGTCTGTATCCATTTGGTTCCCAGTAAGGGATAAGAACTGCCAAACAGGACAAATTGGAAAAATCAGACCAAAGACGTCAGTTACTATGATACTACCTAGATGTGTTTATAGTACATTCAAAATAAAAATCTCATTTTTTTGAGAGTGTAATTCCATGATAGCAAAGACAATACCTATTTTTGTTCACTACTATCCACTAGCACAATGCCTAGTTCCACGGTAGACAAAAATTTGCTGCATGGATAAATAAATGTAGTGTTAACTATGCGCCAGGCACTGTGCTAGAACCATAATATATGTTACCTCATTTATTTTAACTCTCACCACAAAGCTGTAAGTTAAGAATCAAACAAGAAAACAGAGGACCAGGAAACTAAAGTAACTGCCCATGGCCACCAGTTAGTAAGTGGTAAAGCTGGAACTAAAACTCAACTCTGCCAAACCCATGCTCTTTCCATTACATCCCTCCCCAGAACACTGGTTCAGTCACTAACCTGGTGAGGTCCTTATATTGAGAGTCTTATTGAAATTATCCTTGAGTGCTTCTATCACAGACTTCATTTCTTCATTCACCTCTTCCAAGTTGATTATATCCTCAACCAAGGCAGCATTAATATTCACTCTGGTTTGGGAGTGTCCTTTCCCTTTGGCTAAAAAGTGAACGTTCAGTGAATAAAACAGCAGCAGCATAAACAGAGCCAATAAGCAATTGGTGAAGAAGTGCCTACTATGTACAGGGAAAAATGTCAAGTGTTAGAAAATTATAAAACATCATCACTCCACTAAAAAAGAGCCTATATTAACTGAGTGTCAACTGTGCTAAACACCTTCTCAGATATTAGTGAGGAGACAGACTTTATAATCAGACACCCCAGGTTAAAAGTCTGGTTATAATGCATACTAGCTTTATGACCTTGGGCAAGTTACCTTTCTGAGTATCAAGTTCCCTACCTATAAAAGAATAATAACATCTATATTGCAAGGTTGCTACAAGGATACAAATTAAGTCATTCAAACTCCTAAAAGAACACTATTCACATGGCAGGGAATCCATAACTAAATTAATCTCTTACTTTTCAGAAAAGTAAACAGAAGATGAGAAAACCAAAGCTACTTGCCTAATGTCACAGGTCAGGAAATGGAAAAGTCAAGATCTGGTTCCAGATCTGCCTAATTTTAAACCCATGAACTTTCTACTAGCCCATCTTCACAAAATCTAATTAGAGAGACAGGAAATACATTAATTCATTAAAAAATGAACACGAAGACAAGGATACGCACATATCTGATGGCTGGTACAGAGTACAGACAACAGGAACAACAGTAGTTTACAGACATTAAACACTACCAATGGTAGAGACAATGGCTTATATTTTAGAAAATCAACAGCATTGGGAGCTGATTATAATTTCATTTTATGTCTAAATCATCCTAGTGATTTTTCATATACATTCTATGTGTATACATAGGTAATTTCTGTGAATGATGCAAATATTCTCGCATTTCTTTTATAGGGGATGGGGAAGGAGAAAAATAAAATTTTAAATAATATTTACAGTTTATTCATTAAACATTCAACAAACATTTATTGAGATTCATTCAATAAATTCTGCTGAACATCTACAGTGAGCTCAATCCTGCACTATTTGTGTAGCATATTATAACTTGCAATGCAATTTCAAGTACATTCTCCTCCTTGCTATCCAAGATTGCTCTCTGAGGTAGGAAGAATAGAGATTAGTATTGCCCTCATTGCACAGATGAGAAATCTGAGGCACAAGGCATTTGAATGTTTTGCCCAAAGTAAACAACTGGTAAGCAACAGAGTGATTTTTTAAAACATTTATTTGCCCATGTTACCATTATGATTTGAAACCAATGGCTTAGGTTTTTGTTTTGTTTTTTTTTTTTTCAGAACTGATAGAAGATGTGGGGCTTGGCACGGTGGCTCACGCCTATAATCCCAGCACTTTGCGGGGCCGAGGCGGGCGGATCACGAGGTCAGGAGTTCAAGACAAGCCTGACCAACATGGTGAAACCCCATCTTTACTAAAAATACAAAAATTAGCCGGGCATGGTGGCATGTGCCTGTAATCCCAGCTACTCAGGAGGCTGAGGCAGGAGAATCGCTTGAACTCGGGAGGCGGAGGTTGCAGTGAGCCGAGATCGCACCACTGAACTTCGGCCTCGGCGGCAGATTAAAAAAAAAAAAAAACAGGATGTGGATCTTCGGATTGAGAAACACAAGTTTCAAATGGGACAATAAAAGTAAATTCACACCTAGACATGTTGTGACTGCAGAAAACAAAGGACAAAGAGATCTTTATAAAAGCCCAAGAGAAAAGACAAATTATCCATGAAGGATTAAAATTTAGAATACTTTCCAAGAGCAACAACAGAAGCCAGAAACAATGGAAATAATATCTTCAACTTTAAAGTTTTTGTTTTTGTTTTTTGAGACGGAGTCGGGCTCTGTCCCCCAGGCTGGAGCGCAATGGCGCAATCTCGGCTCACTGCAAGCTCCGCCTCCTGGGTTCACGTCATTTCCCCGCCCCCGCCAGCTTCGGAGTCGGTGGGACTACAGGCCCCCCCCCCCCCCCCCCCCCCCCCCCCGCCAGCTTCCGGAGTCGGTGGGACTACAGGCGATGGCCACCACACCCGGCTAATTTTTTAGTAGAGAAGGGGTTTCACTGTGGTAGCCAGGATAGTCTCAATCTCTTGACCTCGTGATCCGCCCGCCTCGGCCTCCCAAAGTCCTGTGATTGTAGGTGTGAGCCACCACGCCCAGCCAACTTTAAACTTTTACAACCAAATATGTACATTAAAAATTTAAATATATGTCTGTCAATATTGGAATGAATAGTAATATTTATGAATGAAATACTATGCAACCATGAGAAAGAATGAACTACACACAAAAATTTAAATGAGTCTCACAAATCTGATGTTGAACACAGAGGCCAGACACAAGAATACAAAACTGTACAGTACAAAGGCCAGATATGAGAATATAAACTGAACAGTAAAAAAACAGAGAAAACTAATTCATGCTACTAGAAGTCAGAATAACAGTTATCTGCAAAGGGTCGAGGGTAGTACTTACTAGAAAGAAGCACAAAGGGGACTTCTGACATGCTAGGAATGTTCTGTTTTTTGATCTGGATGCTGATACATAAGTGATTTCAGCTTGTGAAATTTATGATAGCTGCACTTTCCTAGAGTGCTTTTTTATTTCCATAAAAAGGTTAAAGAAATCAGTTAAGGGTACCCATCAAAACAAGAAGAAATTAAAAGTATATCTTCCAACTCAGCAGAATTTAAAAAAGAGAGAGAGAGGGATAGAGAAATTTAATCTAATAGGAAAAGAAGAAAAAAGGATTAAAAAAGTGTATTTCAAAATAGCTAAAAGAACTTAAATGTTCCCAACACATAAAAATGATAAAAGCCTGAGATGCTGGATACCCCATATATGCTAACTTAATCATTTATGCATGTAACAAAATATCACATATACCCCATAAGTATATACAAATACGTATCAATAAAAAATTGTTTAAATATGCATTTAAAAAAAAAAAAGAAAAAAGAAAAAAAAGGAAAAAACATGATATAAGGAAAGTACAAAATAAGGCCGGGCATGGTGGCTCATGCCTGTAATCCTAGCACTTTGGGAGGCCAAGGTGGGAGGATCACCTGAGGCCAGGAGTTCGAGATCAGCCTAGCCAACAAGGTGAAACACCATCTCTACTAAAAATACAAAAAATTAGCTGGGCATGGTGGCACATGCCTGTAGTCTCAGCTACTTGGGAGGCTGAGGCACAAGCATCACCTGCAACTGAGAGGCAGAGGTTGTGGTGGGCCGAGACTGCACCACTGCATTCCAGCCTGGGCGACAGAGTGAGATTGTCTCAAAAAAAAAGAAAGTACAAAATAAAATAACACAAATATGCAGTGACTACAACAAATATAAATGGATCAAAATGACCAGTTAAAAGTGAGAGATCAGTAAGATTTTTAAAAATCTAGTTGAATATAACACAACAGTTTTAAAAAATTATACAAGATCACAGAAAGTTTGACGGATAGGGATGGAAAAATTCTAAGCCTGGCAAACATTAAGCAAAAGGAGGCTGGTGTAGCCACATTATCATCAAACAAAAAAGATTTTAAGACAAAATTCACTATTGGAAATCATGAGGACAACTTCAAAATGATAACAGAAAAAATTCACCCGAAAGATATATAACATATCTAAGATTAAATATATCAATTAGATAGCCTCAAAATTAATAGAATTAAAAGAAGAAACTGGCTGGGTGTAGTAGCTTACACTTGTAATCCCAGCACTTTGTGGGGCTGAGGTGGGCAGATTGCTTGATTCCAGCAGTTCAAGACCAGGCTGGGAAACATTGCAAAATCCAGTCCCTATAAAAAATACCAAAATTGCCCAGGCATGGCAGTGTGTGCCTGTAGTCCCAGCTACTTGGGAGGCTGAGGTGGCAGAATCAGTTGAGCCCAGAAGATTGAGGTTGCAGTGGGCTGTGATTATACCACTGCACTCCAGCCTGGGCAAGACCCTGTCTCAAAATAAAAAACAACAAAAAAGGAGAAAATGATCAATCTACAAGCATACCAGGAGAGTTCAATATACCTTCCCTGATAACTGATAATTGAGCAAATAAAAAAACAGAAAAGTTGATCAACAAAATTAGTCAATTTGATTGAATACAATACACCCAACAATAAGAGAATATACAGTATTCTCAAGCACACTTGGACCTTCTATGAAACAACCATGTTTTACACACAAATCAGATCTCAACAAAGATAAAATAATCTATATCATATAGAATATGTTCTCTCAACAGAGTAGAATTAAGCTAACCCCAAAACAACCATTTGTTTGAACAATTTTAAACACTTCTTAATAAATACTCATGGACTATACAGAAATGCATAATGGAAATGTTTAAATATTGAGAAATGACCATAATAAAAATACTGAATATCAAAAACTCAAGTCAGGCACGATGGCTGACACCTGTGATCCCAGCACTCTAGAAGGCCAAGGCAAGAGGATCACTTGAGCCCAGGAGTTCAAGGTTACAGTGAGCTATGACTGTGCCACTGCACTCCAGCCTAGGCAACAAAGCAAGACCTTGTCTCTAAAATAAATAAGTAAATAACTTCATAGGAAGCATTTAAAGTTGTATTTAGACAGAAACTTCTAACCTTAATACTTTAAAAACAAAACAAAACAAAACAGGCCAGGCGTGGTGATTCATGCCTGTAATTAAAGCACTTTGGAGCCAAAGCAAGCAGATCACCCAAGGTCAAAAGTTTGAGACCAGCCTGGCCAACATGGTGAAACCCCGTGTCTACTAAAAAAAAGAAAATTTCAAAAATTAGCTGGGCGTGGTGGCGGGTGCCTATAGTCCCAGCTACTCGGAAGGCTGACGCAGGAGAATCGCTTGAACCCAGGAGGAAAAGGCTGCAGTGAGCCAAGATCATGCCATTGCACTCCAGCCTGCGTAACAGAGGGAGACTGCATCTCAAAAAACAATAAAAAATAAAAATAAAGAAGAAAGTATTATTCACAGTGGTAAGATATGAAAACAACCAAAGTGTCTGTGGATAGCGAAATAATGTG